AAAATATTTTAAATAAACAGTATAATATCTGTTTTTATTAAAATCAGTTTTGAAAAAATGATAATTGACTTTTAAAAGAATATCAAAGTAAGATTTTAATCTTTTATCAAATCAAAAAAATGATTGAAAATGATTATCTGCCCTTCTTTTGACCAAAAAAAAAACTATTTTTAATGAAAATTTCAGACGTGCTGGGAACGATTAAAAAATGTAAAAAAATACCCCTAAAATACTTTGATCTTTCCTCTTTAATAATAATATGAACATTAGACGATAAAATTTTGTTTTCGTCAAGTTCGGCGTCTTTTTCATCATGCTATGCTCTTTTGTTTACATTTTTGTGGGTGAGTTGTCCCCCTTTCATTCTCACGATGTGTCTTAATTGTGTTTTCAAATTGATTTTATTAAAAAACAACTGTATTTTTCCCATTTTCGGCCCCATTAGAACCACCACAAGGTAATTTTATGTAGTCCTGTGAAGTTTTGTTGAAATCGGCTAAAAAATGTAGGAAATTCGATCCAACATATAAACGTTACAGACACACACACACTACCTGCGTTTTATAATAAGTAAGATAAGATAAGATGCAGAGCTACATTGGATGGACCTGATGGCTGAGCTAAAAGGTGAGTCTTTATGGAAATAGACAACCAAAAAAGAAAACAGGGAAGAGGTCATGTTTTCAGTCAATATTGTAAACAGCAATGGTATCAAGATAAATCCAGAGAATTAGTGCAAGTTCTTGGAAAAGACATTTGAGTGATATACATAACAACCAAGAAGCTTTAAGCTGAAAGGTATATTCATGCAAGACACTACTCCTTCATATTTTACAATGCTAACTCTGCCCACTTAAGCAAAAGTAATTTCAAAGACACCAAATTAATAGAATAACTCCCAACATCAGATATTAATCCAACAAAAAAACTTATGATCCATATTAAAAATAGATATATATATATATATATATATGAAAATAGAAAACAATATTCAAAGAGGTCTAAGAAGCAATAAAAATTCCTTCAAGTAATTTTCAAGTTAAAACTGAAAAAAAAAAAAAAACACACAAACAATAGCTGAAACCTAAACATTACAGAATATCTATGAACTCATTAATATGTAAAATAATAATTCACTAAAATAAAAGGGATGATACTGCTTAATCAAATGTGTTTCTCTGGTCTAGATCTATTGTATTCATTTAGAAATAAATATGTAATAGATATGCTGTACTTTGTTTGCAGAATAAAACCTAACATTCCCCAAACATTATCAATATTTTTAAAAAAGGATAGATATTAGAAGCTGAAATGTACAATATATTGTTCATATAAATATATTCTGAAAAATTTACCAACATCAGTTGATTAATATCAATTTTATTGTGAAAACATTAACTTGACCTTATAATGTGGCACTATAGGTAGGCTGCAACAGAAGAGTATAATGTAGCCTCAAACAATGCAAGTGATTAGCCAAAGAAACTGTCTTCCAAATACTCACAAGTCATATCTCAAAGATACTTTTCATAGTCACATGTCTTGTCTAAGCCTAAGTTAGAATTGAATAAAATCAGCTATACAACAGTTTAATGAGATTTGTTCTTTGTTAATTATTATTATTTGAGTTATCACTGCAGTCAAATGAAAGGATGGAATGGAACTGCTTTACTACAGCAAAGGAGGTGATCAGTTAAGAGTCAAAACAAAATTTTGTTTCACAAAAAAGTATTCTAATGCAGCTTTTATGAAATGCATATTAATCTCAGAGAAAAATTAAGAAAATTCAGTATTATTACTTTACAAAGTAAACTATTTTAAAAAATCTACATAATGTTTTACTTCTGAAAGTAATCCATTAGAGAAGTCATGATGTAAATTTAAGCAGTTAATTCAAATTGATGTTAAATTAATTCTAATGCTATAAATTAACTCTACTTTTAGAAAGATATTTATTAAAATTGTAAACTTAATATAGGAAAATCCTTAAAAGTAAACTTTAAGGTTCTATAATTACAATCTTATAAATATCCCCATATGAAAAATATTAAAATATACTTGAAAGAAAACAAATAAAAAATACAAATGTCCAGCATAACTAAAAATCTTGATCGATTAAATTTGGAAAATGTAAGCTTCCATTACTTTTGTGTATCAGTTCTATGTGGTTTATGAACTAACCTTCCTTTCAATATAAGTAAATATGTATTGCATGTCAAGAACAATATACAGTGAAACACATTCTAGTAAAATGTGGAGGTCTAAACCCAAATCAAACACAATATTCTCAAGTAAACACCCTAAAAGAACTCAACAAAGTCAATCCATCCAATTCCTGAAATCAGCCAGATTTTACATGAAAACAATCTCAAAATATTAAGTATATTTCCTACACTACCTTTAAAACATTCTACCCAAATTGTGATTTAACCTGTAAAATGTTTGTTTTCTTCTGAATCATATTCTGACCCTTCATTTCTAATACTAAAAAAATTTGTCATTAAATAACTCTGGAGTTGATATGCCAAACAAAGCAAATCCAAGTAAAATATATCTTAATTGATATCTTTAGTTATCTTAATTGATCAGAAACAATTTATTTTTCAAATATATTTAACACAAAATACAGCTACTGTGAACTTTAAAAACTGGTTAGATGTTCGATAAATTGTATATATGATGATTGGCACTGAAGAATGTTTTGACACAACTGAAGTAATATATATTTTCACTACAGAAACAAGTTTTTTTTTTTTAAAGTTCCCATGACAAGACAAAATACAAATACTACTGCACTTTATACAACTAAGTGCACTGGAAACAATATTAAACTAGGTTAATATTTGGAGAAATAACTACTTGTGAAAGACAACATAACTATGTGCTCCAATTTCTCAACATCATTCACATAAATGCAAAATACCTCACAGTTAACAGTACTTCTAATATTATGATTCATATCTCTTTAAGTGTCATTATTAAAGCATTTATATTTAATATTTTTTATTTTCTTGGCACATTCAATAATTTCAAATCATTTTACAGATACTTCAATAAATCCATAGCCTAACAAGATGAAATACATTTTATAAACAAATATCTGTTTTTTAACAAACTTTCTTTGTCAGTGAATTTCACCATTAATCAAAGATTAAATATTATACAGTAAAAATTTTGTGCCAAAATTCAATTAACTGTTTCAGGCTACTGACTTATTGATTTGTCCTCAAACTTAATGTTCAAATATTTTCCACTAAAGATGTTACATAAAATTAAATAAACTAATCTAACAGTTTCAAGTTTGAGTAAAATTCTAAGTACAGATATTTTTTATATTTCAAACAACATTCTACAAAACAATTTTTTTTCATTTGTTGAAGTATTAAGATAGTGACAAATAAAAAAAAATAGTTCTGCTAAGTTACTTTCTCCAAATTTCAATAGGAAATTAGCTAATTTTTCATGAAAAATTTTGGAAAAATGTTTAATTCTAACTGTAATCAACAACACACAAAATGTTACTATGAAACCTATCGAAATATATTAAGGTAACATTGTAAAAGAAAAGTTCATGGCAATTTTTCAATACATTTTGATTTTTTACTTCTACATAAGTTGTATCTATCTACAGAAAGACCTATTACATGATCTTCAATCATTATTAAACTTTTTCATGAAAATAATATTCCATTAATGGATAGTTTTAATATTTGATAATTGATAGAAGATAGCAATTAAACAGTACAATCTCAGTCCATATAGTTCTTTTTAATTTACTTTTTTGTTTGAGTTTAAAAAAAAAAATCTCAGACATCTGTCAACATATCAATTTAACAAAAGTAATTGTATACATGATGAACTGAAAACATTTAACATTTATCCATAAACAATGACATCATTTTAACAGTAAAACAAGCAAAAATGTAATTAGTAATTTCAACAGGATTTCTTTTTCTTATTTAGAATATTTGTCCTCATGATTGCTGAACTAACTTTCATTCAAACCAGAAAAAAACAATTATAAATTTTCATATCAAGTGCAAAGTCTAATATATGAGCATAAATTGTAAATTTTAAAAGATAGGCCTCCTCATACTTAAATGTTTTTTTACATAAACCTCCAATTAAATGCAAACCTTAATGAAATTGAGTCAATTTCAGTGAGATTAATGAAGTTTCAATTGTTTGATAAACATAACAGCATCCTAAAACTTGAATTTTTCTCATTTTCCAGATGTTGCACTAAAGCTTCCATTAAAATTAAAAAGTATATGCAAATTAAAAACTAATGCTATATCAGTATAGAAGGGGTAATGAAATTTAAAACATGCAATCAATTTCACAAACCATAGACAAAAACCAGACATTATATAAGAAAACAGATCATAATACATTTTTATACACAAATTAACTATAAAATTGCCTTTATTTGAATATAGACAAAACTCTTAAATGAATGAAGACAGAATTAATAACTAAGCATGCAAACTGAGACAGTAAAAATACACATCATACTAAAACCAAATATAAATTACAATATAAATGAAAATTCAGTTTATAATGAAATTCTTTTGAAATGTAAAACTTAAGAACTTTAAAAATTTATTGCCTTACAGCAAAAATATATCATGCCAGTATTTCTTTGACAAAAACGAAAAACTACACAAAAACAGACTAATGAATAAATACCTTAAATTTATGAATTTTCAGAGCAAAATAAAAATAATCATTTCACACATCTCTAACTGAAATTTTAAAAATAGAAAGAAGCTTAATGCTATAAGAAAAAAAAAAAAAAAAAAAAAAGAACAAAGATTCAGCTTACAATAATGTAAAACCCAAATTAGAGGGTTTTCAAAGCTAATCACAGAAGTGATAACAAGAACCTCGATATGCTAAGAAAGGTATCAGCTGAAATCAAGTATTTCAGCTGTTGGTGTTAGTTGTACACACAGTTCACACAGAAGCAAAATAAAATAAAAACATACAAGGTCCAATACCTGCTTGGCTTGAATTTCACATAACCAAAGTTGACCATCTTTAAGCAAAAATCTAAAAAGAAAAGTATTGAAACAAAAATAAATGAAAAAAAAAAAAAAGTACATTCTATTTACATGTATATATTCCAGACTTCATTTATTACAAAATGTTAACCAGTTCTACATTTCATTTCTGAGCTATCAAAACAAGTTATCCTCTGTAGTATATTCTGGTATAAAAAAAATGTTCAGATTATATGGGAGAATCTTTTTTATTTATACCTGGTTTTAGTATTTCCATACAAACTGAATGCAATAAAAATGCAAAATATATTGTAAATATAATTGTATCAACAGCACTTGTCCTACTGTCCTGAGTGTGATTCTTCAATGGAACTAAATTCATCTATTTCCACCCTCATTTGAAACTTGACACACCAGTGTCAATAACTTGCAAGGGCTTCACAAGGCAAAGATCCAGACTAACTTAGTGCACGAATGTCCTCAAACCATCTCACAAAAATCAACTTAAAGCATTCCTCCCAAATTTTAAAACATCCCAAAATCAATTTTTTCTTCTAACTTTGCGATCATTGGTAGTTGTTAGTAGCATAATAAATTGAAAAATGATAAAACATTAAAATTTTAAAAATAAATACAAAAACAAATTAAATTTTTATAAAAATCAACACTACTTTCAGTTGGTTAAATCAGATAATTTTACACATGTTCCTATTAATCTTTGTGCCCTATCCATTCATCTTCTGTATAAAGAATAGAAGTACTTTTCAACTATTCCTCATCAAAAATAAAAGTTTTTAGTTTTTATTAAAACACCTGCCTCATATTGTGCATGTTTCCTTTTTTTTCTTTTTTTTAAATTTTCCATGTATTTTAAAAGTAGTTCTTACAATTAGATACTAATGTTTTTCACATTTAGAGATAATAAAAATATTAAAATTTAAGTTTTTCATTCTCCATTTTTTCATTTGGGTTTCTCGCACCAGCTTAAAAAGCAATTACACTTTTTGTGTATTTGTGCTCCATTTATTTGAAGCCCACCACAATTGGTGAGAAATAAGAATCTTTTTTTTTATCTTAAAAAATTAGTTGCTTTTAGAATTTTAATAAGAAAAATTTGTATCATACTGGCATAATTCCCAAAAAACCTGTCATCCCAAACTAATGTTTTATCATCCAGTTAGTTTTAACCTGTGCTCCTGGGCATTCATAGATCTATGCCTAATTATCATTGAAATTCAATCATCTATCAATGAAAACTCACAAAATAAAACACTAATTTCAAAGCACACCACTACTACATAGAAGCCACAATATTGCATAGGATGATTCAACAGTCTATAGCCCTCTATGGTAGATTGGTATTCTTATGAGGAAATGCTAAAAAGTCCTCATCCTCAACCCAAACAAGAAAAGTTTCCAAAATAAATTCTGATCAGTTCTGGTCAGATTTCTGGAAGTGGGTCAGGTAAAGAACTTATCAGCACTCCCTTATGGACTCAGTTGCAAACAAAATAAAATCCTAAAGCAAAATATTTCTTGAAAATAAACATATTGGTGTTCAATAATAGATTAAAAATAAAAATTAATAACAGCCATTATAGTACAGATGTAAATTTAATTAATTTTTTTTTACAGCTAATCAATTCACTATCACATCAGCTATAAAGCTCTTTTTTAAAAAATTATGTTGAGTAGAACAATGATCCAATTAGCTTAATTTTATATTTAGCTTTCCAAAAATACAAAGACTGTTTTGAAAGATCTTTTTTATGAAGGTTAGGAAAAAAATAATTAAATTTCAGCATGATAATTATTTATATATATAATATCCACATATTACACTATGTTAAATAAAATCTTGCTGAAAATTTCCTTACCTCAAAAATCTTAATCGTTCTTGTACTTGTTGTATATGGTTAAATCTTCCATCTGGATAGATATTTGCTGGATCTTCAAATGGGTGCTCTGGAAAACAAGACCACACACAATTTTTATATATATTTATTTAAGAAATGGAAGCTTCCACTTGCCTGAGGAGACCTTGCTGTTGAAACCTGGGTTGTGAGGTAGGCTGGCATTTTAGCCATTTCTTAAATTAAATTAGCTCTACATATTAGACTTTGAATTTTGTATTGAGCACTTTTTTGTTGCCTATACTTTTTAAGTGCAGCTGTTTTCAGCAATCCTTTTATATTTTTATATTATACACACATGCACACACACACACACGTACGTATGTATACTGCAGCTTTACCCTTTATTAAAAATGAAAACAATGAAACTTTTCTAGTTAAAATGAATTATACCTATTAAATGCTTTGAGAAAACTCAAAAAATTTATCTGGTAACATGTTTCACCATTACTTATAGCTTAGGAAGCAGACATATAATGCTAGACTTACCTTTAGCATAGGATCTTGCATTGTCCATGTAAGTAGCCAAGTTCTGAGCAACCAACATAACAATGGAGTGTTGATGGTGCAGCTGACTAATAACTTGGTTCCTATAGTACATATGAGGTGTCCGCTGAGCATGCGGGAAATTTTGAGAAGTCTGAAATAAAAAACTCCATTCTTGTAATTTGTTCAAAACTCACTACCCAATTGCAACAAAACATTTTAAAAAAACAAAAAAAACAAATATTAGTGCTAGAAGGTTTTCTCATCAGATGTCTTGAGTGAATACTGGAGAACAGATCATAAAAAAAATTATGTAGCAGCAAGATTAGATGCCGACTTAAATTGAATAAATGTAAATATTACTTTTCAATTATTGGACTCATTGCTGCATTTCTGCATAAATTAAATATTACAATAAACTAATAAATGAGCAGTGCACTTTTGACCTTTTTTTTTTTTTTTATCATTTCATCCCAAATAAAGACAATGCCACTGAGACACAAATGGTTACTGAGGGTGAATGATAATGAGAAAACAGTGAAAAGAGGACAAGAACAGAATTCAGGAAGACAGAAGATGACAATTGGTGTTGCATTTAAATTTTTGAAGATTATAGGTGGTATGGAAGCAAGAAACCGGAAGAGAGTTCCACAAACCTAATTGCCAATCTAGTAGTACGCTTAAATTCCAGCAGATGAGGTACCAAGTAGGAAAGTTCATTAGAAGAATTACCATGAAAATATTTATAGAAAACACACAGGGAAGCCATGTAATGGCAGTGAGAAAGTGACTGAAGTTGAGATGCCAGATCAGAACCAATAACAGAACTTTAGATTTTGCTGAGAATCTAGAGATATATAGCAGGAGCACCAAACTAGATGTGGCAGCAATATTCAATACATGGATGAATAGTAGATTTATTAACATGCTAGATGGATTCTGGTGACAAAAATTGTCTGGCATGACACAGCAAACCAACTTCCCTAACAGTAGACCTAGCAATTGATTCAATATAATCATTCCACTTCATGTCAGTGGAAAAGGAGAGACCAAGAAGGCACAGTGAGTTGTCCTCCTTGAGGTTAGTATCTGCCATGCCAGTGGAAGGCAAAAAAATTTAGTATGGCTAAAAGATAGCAATTTTATTTTGAGTAATTAAAATTTACAAGCCATTTCTTGTCCCAATTAACTGATTGGAGGTCATTTTCAAGATCAGCTGCCAGTTTTATTTTATCAGACTTATTAAGATAGGAGTAAATAGTTGTGTTGCCATCATAAATACAGAATTGAAAACTGATGACAGAGAATGTGCTTGGTAAAGATAAGACAATGTAAGTCCAAAGACAGAGCCCTGGGGAACCCAGCATTAATGTGGAAAGATATAGAAGAGTGGCCATTCAACACAATTTTCATTACATGAGCTGTACATTACTTTCATACTTACTTCTGGAAATAACTGGCATATTTCTCGTATTTGTTTCAGTGCTGGTAACACCCACTTGTCATTCTTCAGTTCTTCTACAAATCTACTAATCCACTGCATCTTCTGACTATCACGGTCCTGAAATTATTAATATAAAAAAAGAAAAATAAAATCAATGGATCAATCATAAAATTAACCAAAAGCAACTAAAACAAATGCCAGTAAATCTTAAAAAGACAATTAACATGCTTAATGCAAGTAATACAATTTTAGAAAAAAAAACAAATCAAATTTTTGCATTTTGTTCTTTCTTTTAATCACCATGTTCATTATAGCTAAAGCCATATCAAGTCACCTTTAAATAACACAAGAAATGATGTTAAAGAGAAAATTTGAGGAAGGCAAAAACTAACACTGATAATTAAATACATTTCAAAATTTATATATTACCTGAGAACAGCTGTAATCTAATATTTTTATGTGGGCTGTTAATGCTTGATCCATAATTTCAGTTGGAACATCTTCACTATGTGCAAGGTTCCATAATAAACCAAGAACCTAAAAAGTTAGAACAAAGTATTAGATCACAATTTTAATGCTGGGGTGGGAGGTATTTATAAGTTATTGATTTTTGATTAAAATTAAAAGATCATTTCCACATTTGAGTTAATCAGCTAAAAATAATATAAATATTTTTAAGCTTTTAACATTTTAAAATTCCGAAAACTTGAAAAGGTTTTGATTCATTTTATACTTAAGAACAATATAAGTATCACTCTTACCTAAGTTAGTTATTCCAGAAAGTATGTTCCATAAAATAAACAAACATATAGGGAACATTTTACTCCAAGCAATTTTTTTTAAGTAGTAGTTGCAATAAGCTAATGAAAAGTTGTTGCATATCTTTCAATGTTAATGAATCCCAGTTAAAATAGAAGTAATTATACGCTAAAAGAGAAGTAACTCTAAATAAGAATTCATAACTATCTATAAAAAAAAAAAAAAAAGAAAAAAAAAAGACAATCAAAAATACATGAATTTTGATCATGACAACAATTAGTAAATATTGACAGCAAAATAAGATATTGGAAAACAGATATTGGTTAATGATATTAAATAAAAACAATTTGTTTAAAATTCAGAAATCTTTAATTACTTAGATATACCAGCATATCAATAAAATTTTATAATCTCTTTAATCACTTAACTTGCAAATTAATTAGAATCGATTACCTTATGTGCCATTACGCCTTCCTTATCATCTTCTGCAAGTCGTCGTATCAACTCAAGTAGCTTTTCCCTTTGCTTTCTCATAGCATTAGTCCAGCTTCCCTGTAAATATCAATTGTATCTAATTAATGCTAAAAAATCTTTAAAAGATAAAATACAATTAGATTTAAAAAGAAAAAATAAAGTTAATAATAATTTGAGATACAGCAATTACATCAAATCTGCAACATTCAGATATATATTGGAAAAGTATCAGGTTGGGGCAAAAGTTTGAAGTATTTTTCAATAGATGACATTTGAACATGATTTCATTTCACACAGGACTGAAATTTACTCTCTCTCTCTCACACACACACACACATTGTGACATACCTACAATTTCATTAGCCATATAGGCATAAGGCTAGCCATCCCCCCCCACTAAAAAAAATTCTAGTTCAAAAAATAGTCAAATATAAATAAAAATAAATAAAATACAATGTTTTCAACTTGTGAGTAGATATGTTCTATGATCAGCCTTCTCTTTTTCTCTTCCGATTCTTTCTGTCTTTCTTTCTCTTCCACCCTCAAAGCCAAGGACCTGTGAACTTTGAAGCAATCTAACCCAAGAATGACTTGGTTCCAAGATCACGTGACCATCAGGCAACTAACCATGTTAACTCCAGGCACCATCAGGCTCTCCTGCTGCAATCACATGATCAGACCCCCACCGAGGGTTGCTTGAATCTTTGACCTTCATGCAAACATATCGTGATTTGCACCCAATCCTCCTGCATACCCAGTCAAACCTGCATGATGATCTTTCGAGACACCAAAAATCTAAAAATAAGGAGGCAGTTTCCTGTCTGACCAGCAACAGATGAACATCACCAATTCTAAACAGAGTGCCCATTGCAATAAAGAAGACAGCAAAGTCTGTCAACTATAGAATGAAAGGACTACTACTAAAACAAATTGACCAATAAATGCCCGTACACGATGCTGTGGATCCCAGGCCATTCTGAAAGAAAAGGACTTCAGAAAAACCGCCAGCTGACAAAATATTGTTTTCACATAAGGAATCTCACTTTGGTGAATTAGAACTGTGTGGAGATATGAACTCGACTTAGCCACCAAGACAAATAGGCTGATTTTCTGGCTTGAGATCACATACATTATATATATATATATATATATATATATATATATATATGTGTGTGTGTGTGTATTTGCTCATACCTTTTGTTCTTTTATGATCTGTTTCCCCTTGGTTAGAGAAATTCTTTTCTTTTTTTTTTTTACCTGTTTCTATATTTGTAAGTAAATGTCTGATTTGGAAAACCATCATCTTGTGTCTGTTTTTGTGCTGACTCCCTTATGTTACTTTCATCCCTGAGTGAAGGCTAAGAAAGGATCCCATCATACCCTTTTTTTTTTTTTTTTGTTTTGAACCCATGGTTCACCTATATGCTACAAATTCGTAACAATACCCCCCCCACACACACAGGTAATAAATTTTCTGCAATTCTGTGATCATGGACGGAATCATTAATCTTAAACGGAATCTGAGTTTTTCATGTAATTTTCAATAATAAATCACAAATCATTTGATTTTTTTTTTTAATTTTTTTTAAAACCCAAAAAATAATTAACAACAAAAATGTTTGCATAAAAAAAGTGGGTTGTCAATTTTTTGTGAATATGTTGTCTATTTTTAATTATTTTATAACTTTTCTAAGAAACTGTATATTGAAAACGAGATGAAAGTCAGGTCACAGCTCAGTTGTGGCCATTGAAATCCATTGCTAAAGTAGAAATGGAAGACAGACACTAGTAGTTGATGTCAAAATTGGAGGAGAGAGAGACAAAGATCAAACAAATAATTCATTTCCTTTAGATCTCACACAATTTACAAGATTAACAACTTTTAAGCTTGTTTTATAAATATGAAAAAGTAAATGCTATCACATGCCAAGCATACAATTTAGAAATAAAGGAAAAACAATTCTCCAAAAATACTATTCTATGAAACAACTGGCTTGTCTAAGCTTACCGTCACAGCAAGTCTCTCAGATTAATAATTGCATTATCTTCAGTGTTTCACCAGTGTAAAAAAAATTTAAATTGAACAAAGAATGCTTTAATAACATAAACTGTCAATGATTATTTTTAATATTTTATTTATATTTTGTAATATCTAAGCCTCAAGAGTTGGGCCTGCTCCTCTCAAAAAATAAGGTGGGGGGTGACACCAGTATCTAAAATTTGTGCTCAAACCAGAGTAGAGCAATTCCCTGATGACTTTTATGTAGAAGAAAATGTTATTTTGCAAATTGTCTCCATAGTATTGGTATTTTTAGGTTTGGCACAATCAAAGATCACTATACATCAAATCAAAAACTCATTTGACAAAAAATTCTTCAAAAATTTTGGCTCAACTGAAACAGAAGACAATCACAACTTTGTACGGGATGATTTTGTCTTTGATTTTTGAAAATGTGCACTTTGTCTGACATTCCCCGAGACAAAATTGACAAAATGAGGCCATTCATAATAAAACATTGTAAAAAATGTGGTGTTATTTGAAGTGTCAATTGTGTTAGGCAACTTCATCTACCAAAATTGTTTGCTTGTCACTTTGCTGCCCTAAAACCAAGCTTGCTAATCAATCAGTCAACATTATAACAGATGAAACAACTGTCACGACCACAGCATTTTGAATGTAATTGCAAGCATTCGTGGCGAGTCAATTCTCATTGATGTTGTAACCTTGCAAGAATGCAATCTTCAAACTCTAAGTCAGGCATGCATCCGAGCTGTAACTCATGCGAATATTGCTTTTGAGGATATTATTGCCTTTGTAACAGATTCTGCAGCCTATTGCAAAAAAGGCTCATAAAGAAGTGTTGTCAAATGTCTTTGTTAGCAGTTGTCATGTGTTATGCTTAGCACATATTTTAAATCTTGTTGGTGAAGTATTTTCACACTGGCCAACATTTGATAATGTTACCCAGCTCACTACTTTTATCAAGTCAGCCTTTTTTAAAAAGCCTAATTGGAAAAAAGCAATACTTAAAATGGCTTGAAGGTCCCTTGCCTAAGGAACAAATCAAACTACCCCTTGTACCAGATGGAATTCCTGGTTTTATGCAGCCAAATATCACACATCCTTGGTACAGTTTTATGAAGGATTCTTTAAACAAGAAAAAAAGGCATGGCCTTTGCAGACCTAACAGGAATTAGTACAGCTTGGCTGGGATGTCCTACTACACTAGACATGCTCACCTGACCTTGCACCTTTGGATTACCACTTATTTCAATCTCTACAAAATTAACTTAATTGAAAGAACTTCAATTCTCTTGGAGCCACTAAGAACCACTTAAACCAGTTCATCAGACAGAAAGATGGCAAGTTTGGAGAGGATGGAATCATGAAGCTACCTGAAAGATAGTGAAAGTCAGGGAATCAATCTATATACAAACATCTAAATATTGTCTTAAATTTACTTAAGACACGCACACACACACACACACAGCTATAAACTTTTGTTCTAATCCAATATTTTAAGAACTCCCCACCCACAACAAAAACTTAACTTACTTGGAAACATTCAAATAAATGGTCCAGCTGTTCTGGGGAAAAGTCCCAAGCCAATTTTGCTAATAAATCATGAACATTTTTGACAATTGCTTCATGTTTTCCAGACTGGAAAAAATAAATAAAAATACTGTAGTAAATCAGAACATTTATCAAATGATGGAATTATCATTCATTTTCTAAAATCTCAAATATTTCTTACTACTAATAATAAAAAAATATATATTTTTAGCTGCAGGGTAAGCTCTACTTAAGAAAAAGCAATATGTAACTAAGGAAATAATTTATTCTTACCTGGGCTTCCCATATTCTATCCAAATCATCAAGTGTTAATGCTTTCTCTTTGATCATAAATCTCAGTATCTTTTCTAACTTTTCAACATACTGAGGTTGGTGGAGACTATCGCGAAGAACTATAGATAACACATTGTTCTGTTGAATCCATTCCTAGAATAAAAAAAAAAATTATTACATACATTATAAAAATAAAGTTACAATAAATTAAAAAAAAAATCTGCAATGCAGCAGGTTATGTCATGTTCACGTAACTTGAACAAAGAACATTGTATCAGGCAATTATTTTGGTCAAGAAGTTGTCTCTAAAGATTCATTACAAAGGAAAAAAAAAATATAAAAGTAATTAATCACATTTTAGAATTAACCATTATTTTTACTAAGTCATTAGCATATGTTTTCAAACAAGAATTTTTTTTCCATTAAGAGTTCCAATAAAAAACAAAACACAAAAGTTTAAAATGAGATTTGCCAAATTTTGTACATACGAGTAATTTATATATCAATAACATTGCCACAATTGCAAATATGCACTTTCTACACAACAAAAAAAACTCATTCTTAGCAAAAACTATATCTCTATTGGATTCCCATATGCTTAAAGAAGATATAAAATTCAACAATCATACTTTGCATTTATATCATGACATGCTGATGTAATAAAGTTCACACTATTTTAAGAAGAATGATCAAAAGTTCATGAAATAGTTAAACTTATATGCATATCTAAACTATGCACAAGTAAGACAAATGAGGATAGCTGCATTAGATACCCTTACAATAAAAGCCAAATATAGAAAGTCTGAATTTAATAGGAAGGAGTCTGACAGAAAATTACAATCACTGAAGAGTGAAATTGTATTAATAAGAAGAGATTAACTTACTGCCATTTTGTCTGCTGTCAGCCACTCATCATCATCAATTGGAGTATGACGACTGGCATGGAATGACACATTTGCAATCACTTTGTTTACTTCATTTAAGGCATTCATTTTGCCATTAAAAGACGAAATCTGAAGAAGCCTGAAGAATAAATCATTTTATTAGTAGTTCCCGAACGGGGGGGGGGGTGATTATTTTCATGGACATTAATAAGCAAATACAGAAATATGGTTTAGAAAGTTCTTTTCATCTGAAACTGACATGATATAAAAAAAGACAGAAAGGATTTTTAATGCTAGATTTTGAAATTTTGAGTATGTCAAAACAAGTTAAAAAAAAAAAATTATATATACATTTCTACAACTAGAGATGGACGGTTTAACTGAAAAACCGACTTTTTTCGATTTCATCTTCACATCGTGAAACTGCATTGAAATTTTTACGAAACCGAAATTGTTCAGTTTAGTGCTATCACTACTGAATGACCATATCCAAAGAAACACTATTGAAAAAGACTTTCAGATGTTAATAAAATTAAATTTTATCAACATTTATACCACTGTAAGAGAAAAAAATTGAACAAAAATATGTTAAAACATTTACTTGGCGAATTTTAGGAAATAAATGTGAAATCTATTTGTATACAAAAGAAATGAAGAAAAAAAAAAAAGGAAATATGACAGATATGACACTTGGAAATTATAGAATGTTTTCAAACAGAAAAAAGGAAAATACAACATGAATTCTGAAATCTATATCTATTTGTTTCAGTTTAAAAAAAAAAAAAAAAAACTTTTTGTGGTAAAATTAAGTTAACAAAAAATAGTTGCCAGTTTCATCTTACTGTTAAATTTTATGAAGTCAGATGTTTTGTAAGGGTAAAATTGTTTTTGAATGAAGATATATTTTTTTTTTTTTTATAAATAAATTTGTTTTTTTATCTAGGGAATGCACCTAAGTTAGAGATTAAGAATAATTAAAATAGTTCTTAATTTCACTTTTAAAATGTGTATATTTCCAGATATGCGAGTCTCTAGTGTAAAATTGTTTGTCTTCTACAAATAAAATTATGTTTTTATCTAGAAAATACACCTAAAATTAGATATTAAAAAATAAAGTTTTAATCTCAGTTTTAAAATGTGTATATTTTCAAAACTGCAAGTCATTGTTTTAAACCCAAAATAAAAATTATTCTTTATTAGCTACTAGTGTTCGGTGGGTGTTCTGCCTATAAAATTCTTCTAAACAAGGAAAATTAATTCATTTTATTTTTACAAATATCTTTATGCTTTTATCTAGTGAATACACTTAAGATTATATATTAAAATGATTATAAAATAGTTTTTAATTTCAATTTTAAAATGTGTATCTAAAAAAGAACAGGTGATACTCGCAGATTTGGAAATATATATACACATTCTAAAAATAAAAAATTAAATTAAAAACTTAATTATTTTTAAGACATATTTGCTAGATAAAAAACAAATTTATTTAGGGGCGGGGGAAAAATAACTCATTGACTTTCCTTGTTTAGAAGAAATTTATTTGCAAAACCCTAATAACAGTTGATTGGTATACCAGAAAAGAATTGCCATTTTTTTAATTATTTGAAACATGACAAATTTCATTTTTTGGGTTTTAAAAGCCACATCATAAACTAATTTCTGGAGAGCTATACCATTTTCTCTCTCAAATGTGTTGCCCAAAATACAAATATCGATACTTTATGTGATGATTTCTTTCATATTTTACCAATTTTTTAATAAATATAGTAGTTATTTATAGTTGATAATTTATTCGAAAGTTTAATAAATAAACTTTAATTGAAAACAGGTGTCTGTCAGTAGTTTCAATAATTTGAAAGATCTTTTAGCCCATATTTTTTACTGTTTTTTTTTTTTTTTGCTTACTTTATAATTTTTTGAAGGAATTTGCTACCACAGGTCAGAGAAGAAATACAGGCTGTAGTTTAAGGTGTCTTCTAATTAAGTGTACAATTTCAAGAATATTGATAAAGATTTAGATTTTTTTGAAACAAAAAGTAAAAAAAAAAAAAAAAAAAAAAAAAAAAAAAAAAAAATTTCACATTTTCAGCTGTTGAAAGCAAAAATACTCTTTGAACTCACTGTAAAAAATAATTCAATGAATAAAACTGCATACAAATTACATATTTAGAAAGATTATTTTATTTTCTTTACAACCATATGAATATTTTTAAGATTGACCAGAAATACATGAGAAATTGCATGTTGAATGGACTAAGTTGCAGATTTATCAATCTCAAATGAAACCAGATATTGACTGGAAATTCTATCATTATATAAGAAAATGAATAGCTTCCTTAGAAAGCAAAAATACTAAATTAAGAAGCAAATCAAAACCTGCAGTATCAGGGGAAAAAATGGAAACTGATACTAAAATATAAATTGCTAAATGAAACAACTATCTAGAACCAATTGCAAAATACACAGAAATGGCCAACCACAACGGTGATCCCATGTGTTCAATCATATCCAACAAAATGTTTTAATACTCACCTCAAGATCATTTTCAAACGGAAGATTTCCAAATTCTTCACAGTTTCTTCCTGATTAGGTACACGGGACACCAATTGTTTCAGTGCTTTTATTATGGCTGATAATCCATCATTTTTTATTTCTGATTTGGACTCCTTCTTCAATTCATCATCTGTTAAGTTGTCCAGAAATTTAGGGACAATTTCCTAATAGAAAAACAAAATTAAAAATTTCAATTTAAAAAAAAAAAAAAAAAAAAAAAAAAATGAATAAAAAATATACTTTATACTTTTCATATGGAATAATAACAATTAAACAGCTCCATGATTCTACTTTCAATGTTTTACATTATTTACATATAAGCTATATAGACTTTCTCCAATTCCACAGAGAGGAAATAAAATTGAAAATGCTGGTACTATTTTGTAATTCTTTTTTATTCTTAAAAATATTAACTGCAGAAATGAGAGTTCACAAATCATAAAATAAAGTAATTATCAAAGAGTCTTACTACTTACTACAATTGGCATAAAATATTTCTGGATGGCATAAGGAGTCAGTACTTCAGAGCACTGACCAAATGGTCTGAAAAAAAAAAAATAAATAAATAAATAAATATATAAAAAAATAATATATAACATTTTTAGTTTTCATCATTACATATACTAAGAAAAAATCACCAATTAAAATTTGATATAACAATTTAATGACTGAACAGAAAAAGGTTTAGCAAAAGAAATCATGCTCCAACTATTATTCATACAATCAATATTTCTTTAATCCAGATATTTATTAGGCTAAGCAAAATCTCAAAATTAAGTAAATTTATTTTTATTCACAAATTTCCACATCAAGCAAAATTTCCTTTGTAGCATTTAAAGATTTGATATTACAAATCAAATTGTGAACACAAAAATGCACTGAGCATTGACACGCTAAATGGAAATCATTTGTAGATATGTACATAGAATTTGTGTTGCCCAGCACTGTTGTGAAATTTATTGCCCATTTAAAGAATCTTCCAAAACTGGACAAAATCTACTTCAATACAATAATTCACTTAAGAGCTACCCCACCCAAATATGCTGCCCAAGTTGGACTACTTCACCCAACCCCCTCTAAGCCTAGTAAGGCATTCAAAGAGAACCTTGAAGTTTGTTGCTTAACGTTACCAAACAAAATTCCTTTACATTTAAAATCTCTAAACAAACATTAACATAATTTAGCAAAAACTCATAATTAAACTAATCTTAAAGTAAATAAAATTATGGTTTCTTTAATATGAAAATTGGTCAATTTTAAAAACTTTTTAAAGGCTTATTTAGTTCTTTTTTTACTATTTTCACAATGTTTTAGCCAACTTATTCTACAGCCTCCTTCAGTACAATCAACAATTGGGGAAAAAATAAAGAGTTCTTTTATGATAGAAAATCAGTACTCAAAATAGTATGTGTAAATTGTATTCTATATATGAACTAATTTTACTTCAAAACTGATGTTAACTTCTATAGAACTTTAATATAACTTGTAAATAAGACATAGCACATTAAATAAGGCATCCTTATACCATCTTTCAAATGAACAAAACCTGTAAAAATCTGGATCATCATAAAATTATACAAGAAAAAAAAATTGAAAACCAATTTGTATAAAAGGCAATTTCCTGAAATATATACTCACTTCACCAGTGCAGCTATCACAGGCACCGATAACTGGGGGCCTTTAGTGAAACGGTCAAGAATAATTTGGAATCCTTCCATTTGTCCAAATTTATTCACCAGATCTACCAACCAGCCCTAAAAATAAGTAACATATTGTTATAAACTGCACAAATTATTCATAACAATTTTCTAACTACCAAATATTTTTGCTATTTTAAAAACATTTTTTCAGTAACATATGCTGAAAGGCTAATGCCAGGCATGACAGAATTTAAATAACTGCTCAAAAAAAAAAAAAAAAAAAAAAAAAAAAGTTAATATTGGAAGTGTGCTCAGATGTGCATATATATATATATATATATATATATATATATATATATATATATACACACACACACAAATTGTAACATTGTGCAAATCAAAATCAAAATAATACTCATAAAACTAATGGTTCTGAACTCATCAAACTTCAGGCAAACTTGCACTTCATAACCTTATAACAAAAATCTAAAATCATATAATATAGTTTCATTTATACTATATTATACAAAATGATTATTTAAAACATTCAAATTTATATGAAACCATTTCAAGAATCAACAGTAAGTGATAAAATAATGAATGAAAATGAACAAATAAAGAATGAATTATTTAAATGCCATACAAAGCAAACAAGAAAAAAAATATCCCTTAATACAATTTCTGTTTTTTGTAACCCAATATACATAGAAATTCAAAATTCCTTCTTAAGGTAATAGATACTCAAACAGCTGATATTGCTTTGTTGGATAAAAATTGATTGCCGTCTACATAAAGAGGTGTTTTGACAATGTTCCAAAGATTTTTCCATAGAATTCACATCTGGCAAACAAGCATAAGTTAGTCACTTTTTTAAAACCTTAATTTAATTAAATATTCAACAGTTGCAATAGCAACATTAGCTGAAGTATTGTAATGCATAAATACCACTTTCTGCTTAAATCTGTCTTTTTTTTTTTAGCCATGTCTGAAGGCTGGTCTTTCAAAAGGCAGAAAAGTTCATTCTGATGTCATCACCAGTTTTTCAAGAGCTTAGACTATTCATTGCCAATGATCCCTGCCATAACAATTTTACTTCAAAACTGATGTTAACTTCTATAGAACTTTAATATAACTTGTAAATAAGACGTAGCAGATTAAATAAGGCATTCATAACTAGAAATGTAAATCATGACCTTATTACAATTACCAAAGGAAAAAACAAAGATCCTCTTCCACCTCATTGTTGACACTTCATCAGAAGAAGCCAACAATCTTCCTTCAAGCAACATCCATTTCACCAGTAATGTTGCATTCACCCATGAATAATACCCACTAAACGTCTATTTTAAAATACTCTTTGGCTTGGGTAACACATTTTAGATAAATGTCTTCATTACACAGTTGTCTCTTACAAGAGTTTTAGCAATTTCCAGCATTGTTTTCCTTCAATAAGCATCTGCACAAATTTTCATTACTTAACAATGCTTTGCCTAATACGATGCACAAAATTTGGAACAACATAAAAGTGATATCATCAAAATGGCTTCTGTATATTTATTAATATGCACAAAAAACTTGATATTGTCTATGCCACTGTTGCCAAACTTTTATTCAAAATTTGTCAAAATCTGTACAGTCAATATATACATATTTTAAAACCATCTGCATACCAGAATGCACTGTATATATCAAAATGTATTAATTTACACTTGCAAAGTAGAAACTGGTTACCAGCTAATTAATACATACCCGAGGTGTTCTTGCATCGGGTGGTTTTGCAAATATGGCCTCTTCAGTCACCTGAGTTCCTGGTGGTACAGTTTCTGATGGGCGAGTTCCATTGTACGTATGGAACCTCAAATTAAAGATAGAAAAAAGTTTAAAGAAAATTTTGCATAGAGTAAATAAACTAATAATTTTTCATATATCTATACATTCCTATTCACACTCAAATACTCAAAAGTTTTCATATATTATATAGAGACAACTCATTGTGTTGTTCAAATATTATTTATATTATTTAATATAAATTGCAGGTTTGTGACAATCCTGTGTCAAGAAGTTGACTGGTGCCATTTTGCTAACTGCATTTTTTCACTTTATCTGTGTTACATTTTGGCTATTCTTTCAATATTTCGTTATTATTATGCTAGTTAATACCTGTGAAAAAACACACTTATATTTGAATACCTACAAGTGTTTTTTTAAGAGAAATATATTTATATGTATTTATACAATATCATGTATGAATAATTTTTGTAAAATTCCACTAATATGCTTGCTTTGAGTGGGAATGGTACAGGTCATGCTTTATGCTTTCATAACAACAGAATTTAACAACTTTTTAAATTCCCTTCTTATGGCAACATGATTTTCTCATTACCCAATAATGAAATGCAGTTTGTAATAATCATTTGATAGGCAAGGAAACAAAAATTTACTGATCATTATATATGAAAGTGAGCTAATTAATAACAGCAAAATAGCCTCTAAGCATTCAAGCACAGGGAAGAAAAGTTGCATTTGTCTTACTTTAAAATCAAAAGCAAGAAATGATTAAGCTTAATAAGAAAGCTATGTTGAATGCCAAGATAAGCTGAAAGCTTGACCTCTTGTACCAAACAGTAAACCAAATTATGAATGCAAAAAGAAATTATTAAAAGGAAATTACAAATGCTACAAATGAAAATATAAATAAATGATAAAGTGAAATAGCCTTATTGCTAATATGGACAAAATTTAAGGCATCTATTAAACAAGCTACAAAATCTTCTGAAGCCAAAGCCAGTGAAAAGTTCTAACTCTTCATTTCTATAAAAGGTGTGAAAAATGCAGAAATTTCAAGCAAAGATTAATTCATGAGGTTTAAGAAAAGCCAACCAATGCAACACACCTTCATTGCTGTCTACAGCCACTTTAACTTTCAACAACCAGATTTATATATATATATATATATATATATATATATATATATATACACACACACACACACAGAGAGAGAGAGATTATTCTTTATTTAATTTGTTTACCAAATGCTACTGAACATTTAATAAACTTCAGTATACCATAAACATTTTCATATGAACTGAGAAACCAAGCACTTCTTGTGACTTGCTTAACATATTCACTTTTAACATGGTGCTCTGAAACCAAACCAACAATATCTCCAAGGCCTGTCTGGATTTATCAATGATATAAGAGAAATTCAAAAAATTTAAAGCAAACCATTTCAGAAATTTACAGAACATAACAAATCCACCAATTAAATCGTCTTTTTGGGGAATAATTTGATAAAGGCATTGTTTGTTGAAATGAGTGACACAAAGCAAATCTTTACAGGTCAGGTTTGTTTTAAATCAGGGATATCACACACTTTCAGATAAAGGTGACTATAATATCTATGATAATCAAAATGAGGGTGAGATTCCAGTACATGGAAAATGTTCCACTGAAGGTGGATATCAGCAGTGCAAGGCCACAATTTTGTTTGGCTTGCCAGTGAGAGAAGGGTTGGGATGGAGCTTCTTGTCGCTTTCTTCGATACAGCGCCATTATTTTGATTGGACCCCCAATCATATGGGGTTCTTAGAAGTTTTCCTTCCTCCCCTTCAAGGTGTATGACACAAGACCATTGGTCAAGCATTACTATTGGCTAGTAAATCAGGGCAGTGCAACCCCATAAAAACAGTTGCCAAAAGAACAGAAGTAAGATCGAACTGGTTTCACCACTAGTAGATCAACACTCTCCCTGCCAAATGACTGTGGTGCCATAATCAGCTAAAGACCTGTTCTCTATGTCACTTTTTTTCTTTTTAACTTCTTCAATCAGCTGCTTTCATTTAAATAGCTAAATGACTCTGGGCTCTTTAGCCATAACTGCAGCCACCAGTCAACCTCTTCCTACCAGCTCAAGAATTCCTTATACAGAGAAACTTTTTTTAATCCCTTTCATTCATGTATTCATGATTTTAATCATAACATAAATAAAGGTTGTTACTTTTACACGTGTTAATAAGTGTTGCTGAAGTTAATTAAGTTTACCAACAACACAGGTGACTTTAGTCTTTCACAAGGATAGCCAGGACATAGAGGAGTCAAACCCAGTCTTCTGTAGGTCTTCACCAACATTCCTGCAGATACTGAAACACAAGGTGGGGTTAGAGGATAGATGCAGAGTGGGCTCACCAGAGATGGACCAAGGGACATGGACCAAAGTAAGAGTGGCATTCAGTGAAATACATAGCAACAGGGCCACACAAACTCAGGACATAAAAAGAATCAAGCTTGATGTATACACACATCTGTAGCTGGTTTTTGAATGTTAGGTTTTGGATGTGTTTATTTGTCAGTGTCTGAAAAAGACACTTTTGGTAAAAACATATATACATCTCTATGACAGGGGAGGGGTTAATAGGAAAAGCCCTTGAAATTTTGCATAATTGTAAAATTCAAAAAAAAAAAAAAAAATAATAATTTCAAGCTAATTTCACTAAGGTAGGATATTTAATATTTGTAATACAAAATGAGCAATAGTCATTACCATGAATTAAATAAAAGTAATTACATTATAAAGTAAATTTAGTTGTATTTATTTATTAAATGCTATTGTATAATAAATTTACTCAATATTTTTATCTGATTATACATGTTTAACAACAGCATAATGTTGGATAATTTCCTCACAGATGAAGAAAAGGCTTCAGACAAACAGAGATGTAGTTCTACAGAAAGATGCTGAAACAATATGAATAGAATATGAGCAACAAAAAACTTTAAAGGAAAATGGAAACAAAAGGGACAATTGTATTTAGAATTAGAAAAAGTTGACATTTTTAGGATGAAAGAGAGCTTGGAGAATGACACTCACAGGACACCCTGAAGGCACAAGGGACAGAGAGAAAGAGTAACCTACTAAACAAGTTTATGTAAATGTATGGCAGAACAGGAACTGGAAGAGACAGTAAGTGGACAAACATTGCTTAGACCTATAAAAGACAGGAAGTTGTAGAGAGCCATGATCTCCAATATCCTAAAAGACACAGCACATAAAAGATGATGATACATGTTTAAAATCATATTCAATGTTTGTTTCCAAATTAAAACCTAAGTTTTAGATTATCTATTATATTATTGCTCTGTCAATTTCTGAAATGGTTTTATTTAAAACTTTTAAGTATCACTTTGATAAAGAAGAAGAAAAAAAAAAAATCAAGAAAAAAGTTTTTACTTACTTGCACTGGGGATTTAGAACCATTGCTAAAAGATCCAATAAAGGAAACCAATCCTGAGAAAGCTTACAAACGCACAATTCAATTAATTTTTCTGCATTCTTAAAGATGCATCTCTGTAAAAATAATTTTTTAAAGTGTTATTACTTTCAAGAAATGTAAAATACCAAACATTTCTAACCTTCAAATAGAACAAAAAAGAAATGCTTACTTTATCAAGCTAGAAAATAAATAAAATTGCAGTTTTGAAGCCCAAACATTATAACATAAATCAGCTCAAGCAATTTTAGTAGTCACAGTAAATATCATTAGAAGTGATACAAGATTACCAACATTGTAGCAGTGAATTTCTTCCTTCACTAAAAACTAGGTAGGTTTACAAGAATCAACTGTCAGAAGGTATTTTCACCTTGTCCACATTGTTGTCTACCTACTGGTTCATATATATTTATCTATGGCCTGGAAAAAGTAGTAGTCAGTAGGGAAGAAATTTTGTGAATAGAGAAGGTAGGGTAGAACCTAGATACCTAAATATATACATTTTGCTATGTGATTTATGAAATATGAGGTCTTACATTATCTGCAGCAAAACAGCCTCCCTTTTCAATTCAAAACCCTTGGTCAAAATATTTGTAATTCCTTTATGCATCTTTGCAAATCATGACAACAGAATTGATAGTTTGAGCTGGTTGTAAGAGGTTATAAAGGATTACTCCATTACAGTACCACTAAACAGACAGGAAGATCTTTGTATATAGATTTAGTTTTGGTAAGGCTGATGGGAAAACAAGTTTGTTGACAAAAAGAAAGCCACCTTTTGATCAATAGTATGCACATGATCAAGAAAAATGTCACTTTTTAAATTAACAGGCAAGTTGTATCCAGCATTGTCAAACAAGCTGTTGATAAATCAAAATTATGGGATGATACAACTTTTGCATTTTCTTCAGTTTGTCAATTTGTGCCAGATATCTTCCAACTGTTATAGGGGGAACTTTTTGCACATGGCCAAAATGTTTGTTTCTAGATGAGTTTCCACAGTGGTCCTCAAGTCTTGTCAAATGACAACTTAAGACCATGATGGAACTCATCTTAGAGGTCCAAATCACTAGAAATTATCTTTTGAAACTAATGATGCATAGAAAAATCTGAAACTGACTAGCGCACTAACATTACTGAGATTGCAGAGTCTGAACTAATGGGGCATAATGAAATAAAATTAGTAAAGAAAAGGTAGTTAAATTCAAATAACACTCAAAAGTAATAACAAAGAACTTTAAAATTATATGTTGGCAGCTCAGACACTTGCGAATCAACTGAATTCTACCTTTATCTCCTATGATAGGCAAATGGGCCTCCAACTTGTCACAACAAAAATGTCAAAACAAAAATAGCAAACATAAATGATATCAGATGAGTGATGCCTTTTTAGCTTTTAAGGTCAGGTGTGATTTGTACAAAACTGCATCAACTCTCTCCATCACAATGATACAATCCAGGGACTAGTAAAATAAGATATCTCATGTAACTATGATCACAAGTGTTACATAAGAGTAACTTTCACCTAGAGACATATCTATGCAGAGCCTAAAGGGTATCTCACTCCAGATTTTTACAGGCCTTGATTTTCATTCAGTAACAAATTTTTTAGGTAATTTCATAGATTTAATGAGAACTCAAAAAAAAAAAAAAAAATTATTAAAATAATACAAAGTACTCTGCCTTTTTAATAAGTCATTTTCTATTTAACCTCTTTCATTTGATAAATACTTAAAATATAAAAACAGGCTTGTGCAAGTTCAATGATCAAAACAGCAACCTCAAAATTGTGACAAAAAAAGAAAAGAAAGAAAAGCAAGAAGAGTTTAAAGAAATAATAGTCAAAGTTTGCACAAGCTGAGATATTGAAATAACCTGACATCTATCTTGAACTATTCAAAATCATGTTAAAAAATCATGTTAAAAATTAAATAACCACAGCGAAACTAAATTTTGAAAAAAAACTATGATATATTCCTTTTAATGAGCAGTATAAACCTTGATATTCTATATTGAGATTGAAGTTATTATTGCCTTATGTTCATTTTTTAACAATCTAAACAGCTAATATAAAAATGAATAAACTTTCCTAACTGTAATTCTGATATAAGCAAATACATTAAGTTTTATCCATTTTTAATGAAACTGTATGAATAGAGACAGTTTAACTGAAAAACCAAATTCTTTTGCTTTCATCTTCGCACCATGAAACCACATGAAGTTTTTTTACGAAACTAAAATTGTTCGGTTTAGTGCTATCACTACTGAGTGACCATATCCAAAGAAATACTATTGAAAAAGACGTTCAGATGTTAATAAAATTAAATTTTATCAACATTTATACCATTGTAAGAGAAAAAGATTGAACAAAAATATGTTAAAAACATTTGACTAATTTTAGGAAATAAACGTGAATTTATTTGTTTACAAAAGAAATGAAGAAAAAAGGAAATACGACAGATATGACATTTGAAAATCATAGAATGTTTTCAAATAGAAAAAAAAAAAGGAAAACAATATGATGACTGAAATCTATTGGTCTCAGTTTAAAAAAACTTTTTGTGGTAAAATTAAGTGAACAAAATAGTAAGTAAATGAATTTTTTGTAAAGGTAATTGTTTTCTAGTATGATTAATTTTGTTTTGTTTTTAAGTTTACCATAAGATAGGGATGTACAAAAAAACAGGAAAAAAAAAAAAAAAAAAAAAAGTGCACCACTTTTTTAAAAAAAATAATTTAAAACATTAATAAAAAATGGAAAATTATCTATTTACTGTTTATTTTTACATTTAATTTAAAGAACAATTCCAAGTTTATGGGTTAAAACAGATTTCTGTTACACATAACATGCATTTTTTTTTGTTTTTTTTTTTAAATTATTTTTCAATGAATCTTTACCTTTGTTCAGATATTTAAATTATTTTTTCGTGCCTTAATATAATACACACTTATTTTCTATGGTAGGCTATAAGTGTAAAGAAAATACAAATTATTATCAGCATTTCTAAATAAACGGGAGAATTCTTTGCCTCTAAATAAAATAATTAATCACTTGAAAACAAGTGTCTGTCAGTATTAGACAGTAGTTTCAATAATTTGAAAGTTCTTTTACCCTACATTTATTGCTATTAGTAGCATTTTTTTTTTTTTGCTTACTTTATAATTTTTGAAGGAATTTGCTCCCACGAGTCAGAGAAGAAATGAACATCTTCCTGGTTGTAGTTTAAGGTGTCTTCTAATTGAGTGTACAATTTCAAGAATATTGATAAAGATTGGTCACTTTGATTTTGCAAAACAAACTAATGTGTAAAACTTAGCCTCGAAAAAAAAAATATTTCTCATTTTTGGCTGTTTGAAGCAAAATACCGTTTTAACTTGTAAGCTGTAAAAAAAATAATTCGATACATAAAAGCACATACAAATTACATATTTAGAAAGATTATTTTATTTTCTTTCCAGCCATATGAATATTTTTAAGATTGGACCAGAAATAAACAAGAAATTGGGAGTTGAACAGACTAAGTTGCAAATTTATCAATCTGAAACAAAATCAGACATTGACTGGAAATGCTATCATTACACAAGAAAATGAATGGTTTCCTTAGAAAGCAAAAATACTAAATTAAAAACTAAAAAGCAGAATTGAAAACCACAGTATCAAGGATAAAAAAAGAAAAAAATGAAAACCAATACCAAAACATAAATTGCCAAACTGACCAACTCTAATAAATAGGTTGACTTCAACTTTTTTTTAGGCTCAATAATTCTTTTATAATTGATAAAGCAATTCAGGAAATATTGAATGAAATTATCATATTTTAAATAGAAGTTATATAAACCATTTTGTAAAACTCATTTTCAAAAAAATACAATCTAATATTTTTAATGCAGAAACATCCAATGAAATTAGGAATCAAAATTTAGTATAAGATAAATAGAAATGTAACAATTTTCAATGTAAATTTGAAAAGGCATTGAGAGTTCAAAATGTTCAAACATTAAAAAAAAGTTAAAGACAAAATTTTAAATTTGCAATAATTAATGTTACTATTTGCAAAATTATCTGTCTTAAAATGAAAAGATTTAGCAGTCATGTAAAACTTGAACTTACATGTATTTCATATTTCCATCCACTCACAGCCTCATCAGTAAGTATTTTGGTAAAGGATATGGTCAAGCCTTCGCGGAAAAATCTTTGACAAGCTTCACTTCGTGTATCCAATGCTGGAAATAAAAGATTGTATATTTCATAGTCAACTATTTATATTAAACAAAAAGATATTTAATATATTGTCCAGTTATCTAACATACTGCTATAATAAATAGTAAAAAAACAGTTGTGTGAATAATTTTAATGAAAATTTCTTAAAATTCACGACACAGAATTTCATTCAAGTGTGTATAACAAAATACATGTACTTTTCTATTTTAGAAATCAAATTTGTTAAGTACAGTCTACTAGAAAAAAGACTATTTAAATCTCAGAATGATTTAAGACTTAATAAGCATTTGCCAGTTACAAATCAAACATTTCTATTATCTATAAACCAGTTGTACATATGAATTCTTAAAAGTATAAGGTGCTTTAACTGTATTTTAAATAACAGGCATAGATATAAATGAACTATCAACTCAAACAAAACACGTTTAATATAGTGACATCATTGCATAAGTTTTTCTTAAAAATAAATAACCTACATTAATTATACTAATAATTATGCAAATTTTGTTTGTTCATATTTTAAGCATTATATAAACATCAATTTTTAAACAGGGGTAAAAGGGAAATTTTACACATAAATTGGAATTATTTCATGAAAAGAATGATTGTGCTGACGAGAATAGGGTTATAATCAACTGATAATTGGTAACTGATCATATCAATCAGTCATTAGTATTTTTTGTTTTCAAACTCTGCAATTCTTGTTTATTACATCATAGGAATGTCATCCCTGGCAAAAATATCAGCTATCTTAACATGGTTGCCGTAGCAAAGAATATTTTTAAGCAAAATAATACCATATTATTAGCTAAAATCTATGGGGAAAATATGATATAATTTCACGGTGTGCTGTGAGCATTCTTTTGAACTATGTGTGATTTGAAAAATAATTACTGCAAGTGATTCTGCCAAAGTTCTTTTGTTCTTACAATTAGAACTTTTCTCACCATGATAGCTTTTATTTTCAATTACATCTGCTAAACAAACTGTTATTAATATGGAAAGTGTTTCCCTAATATTCCTTCATAGTTAAAGCAGAAAAAATATTTTCAAAAAGTCTGTAAGTAATGCTGTGATATATAACTTGAATTAGTTTTATTTTTAACAAGAAAATGTCATGAAATGATTTCAATTTGCTTGTTACCAGAGCTAGTGAGTATGATTGAAATTCTGTAGAAGAGAAAATGACCAGCTGGCTAAAAACAAAATATTCTTAAAAGGAATGCTGTGTACGTTAATCATACCCCAAGTGAAAATGTTATTTTTGGTCTGAGATCAACACCAATTGTGATTGCCTGAAATATGACAGCACAGATGATTTCAAGAATTAAATTCTTCCAAGAAATAAAGATATCATTGAATTTCTCTTAACCATAAGAGCAAAAAACATTAACATTTATGGGTTTGATCATTTGAGAAAAGGTTCAATTAGAATTACAAGGAAAAAAAGAGGAAAAGAGAGGGAAAAAGAAAAAGTGCAAAAAGAAAGAAAAGAAAAAAGCGAAAAAACAAAAAACAAAAAAAGAAAAAAGCGAAAAAACAAAAAAAGAAAAAAGCGAAAAAACAAAAAAAGAAAAGAAAAAAAAAACAAGAAAATCTCTTGGAAGTAAAAATGTGTCAATCAAAGTGAACTTTTTACAAAAATCAAAAGACAAAGGACCCTCTAGGAAATTATAAACTGTTTGATAGATATTCATTAGTGAGCTCAAAAAAAGAAATGAAAGATCTAGAAATGAATCATATGATGAAAATTTTGGAGTGGTATCTACTGATACATATGAAGAAGAAAACGTAAGTATGATGATGATCTACCTTGTCATTACATACATATTTGAAGTGGTGTGAGGTGTTATCAAACCAGAATTCTATATTGCCAAAACAATTCTTCAATCAGTATTATATGTCAGATGAACAATCAGAAGGAGCTATTATTGTCGTCGCTAATCACTTGTTCAGTTAAAACAGATATGGGAATGGAAGAAATACACTCCACATCGCGTATGTGATCACATTTTACCTGATCACAGAAATAGATCAGTAGTAGAAGTGCGAATGGCACTGAACTCCATTGCAGAAGAAATCATATCAGGTGCTGTATATGTAGTTAGTTAATGACTGGTCAGTACAAAACAGTGGAAATCAATGGTATATACAAGAAAAAAAACAAAAAAAACTTCCAACATTTGAAACTATTACAGAAAAACAAAAGACACACTGCAAATAGCATCTGCCTACAAATATTGAAAATCTTAGTAGAAATTAACTCAGCTCAAACTGGGTGTAGAGAAAGTTTATGAAAAGTTGAAACTGTGCTAATGGCTGTCTCCTGTAATGTATATCCCCTGATGAAGTTTCAGAAAAAAAATGAGCTCTATCAAGAAATTCATGATTCCACTGAAAAAATAAAATACTGCTTTCTTGTTGATGTGGAATTTAGAGCCGAGTTTTTTTGTTGAATATCTTAATACTAATTTACCTATCATTAATAATATTAAAATTTTGGGTTGTTCATTCATCAAGATAGAGTTCTTGAAAGCAATAGCTTTATTAGGGCTTCAGTAATGAATTTCTTGGGCACCAAACAAGTAATCTCATTTGTGTCCCAAAACAATTTGAAGATTGATATCAAAGTCTGTCCCACTGAAAATGAAAAGATGTTGGTACTGTGAAACATAAATTTGTTGTTTAAATACACAAAAAGGTGCTATATTTGGATTTGGAACCTCTGCTGAGTTTTATACTAGTAACATACTGAAGATATGCTAAAGTGACCAGGAGACTGTATCAAAGCTTGATCAATATGTTGAAGAGAGAAATGTACATGCCACCAATTATGGATTGGGAATTTGTGACAAGGAAAATCTGGCAACTGTCTCAAGGTGGTTAGAAATTAATCCCATATTGCTCTGATCACAGCCTGTAAGCCAGGAAATTTCAAGAATTTAAGAAAGATGCATCTGATGTTAAAGACATAATGAAGCAATAGAACAAGAAAAATAGCCATTTTGCAAAAACAAGGTTGCTCCAAAAAGAAATTACTCAATGCAAGAAAAAAAAATGAATAAATAAATAAATAAAAAAGAAAGCAATACACTCTAGGACTATAAGTTTGTGGGGGAAAAAAAGACCCAGCTGTGAAAAAGAAATCAACTCTTATTTATCAAATCTTGAACCCACAGATGAAATCAGAAACAAAAGAATGTATGTTGAACTTTGATATGCAAGAGCTACAACATTAACATTAGAAGAAAGCTTGAAATGGGATAACAAAAATCTGGACACTAAAAAGTATGCTGACAATACATCAGTTGCCAGCTCAACTTCAGGTCTGTTGAGTTAATGCTAGGTAAGCATATAGCAGTTGCATGGATGAAAGATGACACATACAATACACATGCATATGGGAGTGGTTGAATGTGCTTTTGCTGATGTTGTAAATGTTACATATTTTACTCCTACAGCTAGAGATGGAACAGGTGGAATTTCCCAGAGGAGGAACTCACTAAACAAATTATCAATAAAGTAGAAAGGGTAATGTCTGAGAGTGGTATACACATAAGGTGATAATTACTAAATCCAGTCATTGAAATGTCAAACAAAATTTGATTTTGTGGAAAACTTGTCATTTACATAATCAAATAAGTTCATGGAAAAGGAAGCAAAATTTTCCTAAATCTGAACAAACATTAAACATGATATAATTAAAGAATTAATAGATTTTGTTTATTAACTTGACATATTTTTAAAAATAGTATTAAGTGGCAACATATAGAAATTTCTTCAATATTTGAAATAAATTGTGGAACAGGTATACTCAATCAGATATCTGTGATCTTGAGAATACAAAGAAGCTGATTTAATATAGAATAAATCCACAGCCGGATTGAGCCCTTTAAGTTTTTGAGCTTATTCTAATATTTTTTTTTATCTTATTAAAAATAAATGTTTTATCATCAGTAGAATTGAAATCTGCATTAAATTCTTTCTTTAGAGGTCACATTGTATGGTTCTGATGATAATTTGCTAATTTTTGGCATGAGGGACATTTTTTGATCAATGTACCCTCTAGGGTTGGGATCATCTCTGGTGTGCAACTATGTATTTTTGGAGTGTTTCTTACATGTTAAGATATTTAGCCACTTTTAGACATATGACTCCAAAGAAAAATAACACCTTCCCCAAACAAAACACTGAAGAAACATCTTTTATGTACCCTCTAAAAAACTAGCACAAAAGCCTTGTGCTTAATATAATAAGCCAAACATATAAGAGAATAAGGGGAATTGATTACCAAATATTTGTTATTAGTGCATACCCTAGTAACTTTACTAACTGCAAGCATATCTAATTGTTCCTGGAACCAACAATTTTTTTTGAAATCTAGAATAACTTCTAACACACCTGAAAGAATAACAATCAATTTACATGTTAAGGACCCTGAGATTTTGAATTTATTGTAATAATTAAAGGTAGATTCTTAAAAAAAATTAAAAAATAATAAAATCCATGTCAAAAATATAATTTCATTTTTTTGGTAAGGATTGTAAAAATATATTTTGTCACAGAAAAAAAATGTAGTTAGTCAAGGCAACTTTCAACAAATGTTGAACTAATTGTTTTTCCAATACCAATTAAAGAAAAAATAAGAAAGTAATGCTTAATTTCATAGGATAATACCATAAAACAATAGTACAAAGAGAAAACAGTAAAATAATCCAATTTATATTTATACAAAAAAATCAAAAGAAAAAACTTCAATTTATACAATATATTCTATAATAACTGTACTGATCAAGTACAAATTTTGAAACAAATAAATATATAAACGTGGACACATTATATACATATCAGAGATGACCAAAAAATAAGGTACAAATAATTATAAATCAATCAGAATTAACATATTATGAAAGCTGTAAACACAAGAATAGCTTTAATATTGAGCATGTGTATGTCATGTCATAATAAAAAGATGACTGTCACTATAAAACAGTAAACAGGG